TTATAACCTAATATATGGTGAGTTCATTTACTTTTAGCACTACAACACTATATTTTAAATTTATTTTTATTTTGTATTAAATCAACGACAATTACAACTTCCTTTATTTTTATTAATTTTTCCTTACAAGTTTGCTTTCGCAACACTGTGCGAGGAATAGCAATACTACATGGCTTACATACATACATACAGCTATTTTATCTTTCTGTTCCACTTTACTTCCTTTGCAATGTCAATATTTTATAGTGAACACAGTTACTCACCCCTCTCCGAATGCAGCGCTCGTCATTGCTCTTGCCCTGCGTATTTGCACTTAAATTGTCCGCCTTCTTTTTGTTTTAAGCGCTAAAGGAATTTTTAATTTCTTTTGGTGAATTTTCTATTACCGCAACATTTCTTTTCCTTCCGCTCCCCTTAGACTTACACCGCTATTTTTAATGTTTCTCCACTTATTTTGGCCACTAACTTACTTTACTCGCATATTTGACTGTTGTTGGCCATCCGAAATCTTGGCTCGGATGTTGTGGCTACAGTATAAGGAAGAGGAAAAGCTGCAACTTGCTTCCATAGCTTATTTTTCTGATTCTCATCGTTGCTTGCCAATGTTTGTTGTACAATAGTAAGTACGTGTGTAAGTAAGTCGTAAGTAACGGTTGTCATTCGTGTTGCTGTTGTCGGATTTTCTCAGTTTTATGGTCTGTTTGTGTCCTTTCACTTGACTGCATTTGTAATCTTTTCCTAACGATTTTCCTTTTTGGCATTTTTATAGCCGCTTCGACGCTTAAATAATTGATATGGCCAAACACCAATGAACAACACATCCAGCATTGAATGTATGGGTGTGGAGTGTTGGTGGAATTTTAGACATGTATTTTGAAGGAATGCCTAAATAGAAACGCGGCGTAATTATCAACTTTTAAGCCGAAAATAAGTGTTGTGCGTTGTTTTCTATTGTATTCCGATGACTGCTAGGCTATGATCAATGTAGAAACCATGATTCTGCGCTGGATTTCCAGGCTGATGTTATTAGTGGTGTTAATGCTGGTTCCTAGATAGACAAAATTATCTACGACCTCCAAGTTATGACAGTCAAAATTGACGTGGGAGCCAAAACGCCAATGCGATGACTGTTTGTTTGACGGCAGGAGGTATTTCGTCTTGCCCTCGTTCACTACTATACCCTTATTCTTCTCTTCCTGTTATGCTGTCTGGTGCGATTACTGAGGTCAATAATATCAATATGATCGGCGTACTGCATCAGCTGTACACTCTTATAAAGTAATCTATATTCAGCTTTGCAGCTCGTATTATTTTATGAAAATACAGTATAATCAAGCCATCAGCCACTAGATCAACTCTCCGAATTTTCTTTGAATTTTTGAGCACTATCCTTTACTTTGGCCTCTCTCTACTTTCGACTTCACATGCGTCTTGCTTCCCACCTCAATTCTCGTTTTTAACCCACCTAGCACGTGCTGTAATCGACGGCAAAGTTGTAAGGCAGACCGCCTGTTTCTCTTCCCTGCGGCAATCCTCATCGTACCAGCCGTTTTTGTTGCCTCTTCGAGAACCATTAGTTTCATTTGCTGCTGTACGTTGGAGGCTTGTAGTGCCGGCCCACAGTTCCCTTATATCGATTTGCTGTTAAGTGTTCTCAGAGAACAGGAGTGCAAGTCGAGTAGAAAATCATGCGGCTGTGCGTTGTAATGCAGCTTTTCCACTTCGAACCTTCTTTGTGTTTGCTGGCAAGCGTTTTTCTCTGCACAGAGGTCGGTGCGTGTCCTCGCTGTTAGAAGATAATGATCTGAGTCGTTCTCGGGTAACGGAACGTACACACTTCAAGAACACCTGAGACATGCCTTTTCTTTATAACCACCTCATCGATCTGGTTGGCAGTTTTTTGATCCGGAGACAACTTAGTTATTTGATGAATTTTTCTGTGGTGGAATCACCACACAAAACAAACACACAAACATATTTCGAGCCTTCCGTACTATATTTTTCAACGCATTGTATATACTTTTCTACAACCTGAGACTTTTCGTGTCTTGGGGCATACTTTCGCTTTATAGCTTTTTTTATCAATTTAAATTTATATTCTTTCCATCGAACTGCTTTAAAATTTCTAAAAAACCCTATTGTCTTCAGTTCACTAACTTCTTTTCATTAATAACCGGAAATATGCATAAACCTTTCACGAAATCAACTGCATTTAATTATCTTCAAAAATAATTGAAGTCCAACTGTTCTTAGCTTGCTCCCAAACTTCTTGGGAGTTTATTTATTTTTATTTCTTTATTTTTGTTAATTACACTTTTCTTGTCATAATACACCATTTCTTACTAAATATTCCAACTACAAGTGCAATAAATATGTATGTATGTATTTGGCTTCCCTGTAAGTAATAATTCTTTTGTTTCCTTTAATTGTTTCACAGTTGCTGTTGTTATTGTTGTTCGGCATCTTTTACAATTTTAATTTTAATTTACTTTGTCGTTACTTGAGCTATGAAGCTTTTCTTTACTCTTCGCTCGCCATTGTTGTTGTGCTCGTTTTTCTTCCAATATTTACTTTTGTTTACATACATACATACATACATACATTCATATATTTATATAGTGTGTAAGTGTGTATTTCTTAGAAAACTCAATGAATGTACTGAAGCAGAAAGTACACTTTTCATTCTCATTGTTTCTTGTTTATTCCAGCGCATATTTTCTTAGCGAAATGCGAAAACTTTCTTCATTTTGTATGTTGTATGCGAAATATTTTGTTTTTCTTTAATATATACTTTATAAATTTTTATTTTATACTTTATACTTGCTGCATTCGCGTATTGAAAGAAAAATATTAAAAATGCATAGAAAGTTTTGCAGTTATGTTTTAATATGTTTTATACGAGAATGAAAGTAGATGAAATGAACTTACAACTTTGGTTTGACAACTAAGTTTTTTTTTTTCTTTGTAAAAAAAATGCAAAGCTCGGTTTGATCGTACATTAGAGCTATCTAAAATAAAATGTTTAAGAGCTAAAAAATATGTTTATGCTGATTAAGGCAGCATATCTGTTGTGAAGAGCTTTAAACCAATGATTTGTGGCTCACCCAATAATAACAAGAAGTCGTGATATCACATCATACCAACACATCAACACATCATCATCGCATCAATATCACATCATTAACACATCTGTAAAAGGTATTCTAAATTTAACATAAGATTTTGATTTGCGCAGTAAAGTGCTTTAGAAACGCACAAGTGAGAGAGAAGCTTAAAATAGTAATTATTTATAGCAAGATCAAACGCAGCCAGATCAATAACCTGACTGATATTTGATCATTTTAAATAAAATAATTAAAAAAGGTTGACGTTCTACAATTTGAAAACGTAATAAAGCGTGATTTTTAAGATGCATGAATGCATGAAATCTTTATTTGAACCGATAGTACGGTCCATATAAATTAACATTTGAAGCGGCCAAGCAACCAATTAACCGGTCCCGAACGTAAAATAAAATGTTCACCGAACTCACCTCTCAAAAAGTCCATTGTTACGCGTGTTGTGTGGCAAGTGGCACCACCTCCTTGAAAGAAGTACGGACCAATGATGCCGCCAGCCCATAAACCGCACTAAACTGTGACTTTTTCTGGTTGCATTGGTAGCTCTTGCAATGTTTCCGGCTGTTCTTCACTCCAAAATCGACAATTCTGCATACTTACGTACTTATTAAGACAAAAATGAGCTTCGTCGCTGAACACAACTTTTTGCACGCATTTTGATAATGAAATTGAAAAATTTTCAAGCGTTGTTCATTTTTGAGACGATTCATGGTTGACTTATGGTGCTGCCAAAAAGACGTTAGCTAAAAAATCACCCTTTATACTCCGTTGAAATCAGAGTAGTAAATAAATTCGGCTTTTCAGGTATTACCCTTTTAACACTTACCTTTTATAAACAACATTATCCCCTTCAGTAAAATAATATTGTAACAAATGTGTATGTATGACGGTAAACAAGTTTTGAATTTTGTTTGAAATTTTACTTTGTATATTTACTTAAATTGTTCAGAATCACAGTTGCTCATCTAACGAAACGATTTCATTTCATTCTGTTAATACGAAATTATTATTTTTCGTTCAGTTAGTATGAAAAATAGACATACCAATATGGTCTGGTTTCGTTTTGGCTGCGGCTGTGATATTAACAACATCTCTCCATTTTAACTTTTAACATTATCTGTTAGCGACTTAACATTACTGATAGCTTTTCGTTTCGGTTAAAAAAAATATAATTTATTTTGATAACTGTTTTAACGATAAAATTTACAAATGCTTCAACCAAATCGATCGAAATTGTTTCTTCTTCGCAATTATTATTTTTTACTTATTAAAGTTTCAATTTAGTAGTTAGTTTTATTTCTAAGCATTCGAAGTAAATACTTCCATTTAAAAAGTATCAATTTTCTGGGTTTTTCGACGGGATAGACGTCAAGCCTTACCCGAGCAATCAACTCTCAAAGATTTTTTGATGTTTGTGCCTTTGTATAACTATAATAAAATAATAAAAGTTTGGACACCACTGATATTTCATGATTTGTAATTGGTGCATTTACGAGCCGAGTATCGCGTTTGGCATTCGAAGAACCCATAAGTGATTGTCGCAAAGTAATTGCATCTACAGCATGCCACTGCGGACTTCTGCCTGAAGTCATTACTATTCCATACTATCAAAAATGTGGATAAATTTCGAGATATCTTATATAACGATCACAATGGGTCAAAGTTAGGCCTAAGATCGGTAGCTACCACAACCTAACCTATATAACAGATGTGCACAACTGAATGGGAAAATATACTTCCTAAAATATGGAAAATGAAAAGCTCAATTCCTTCCCACAGAGTTTTGAGAACACTTAAAATTTAGCAAAAATTTTTAATTTTAAAACAAACTTACGTGCAATAACTCTCTAAATATATAAACTTCTTTTCTCTACTCCACAGGCGAGAAACCATATAAATGTTCTTGGGAGGGATGTGAGTGGCGTTTCGCACGCAGCGATGAACTGACGCGTCACTATCGCAAACACACAGGCGCAAAGCCATTCAAATGCCGTAACTGCGATCGCTGCTTTTCACGTTCCGATCACTTGGCGTTGCATATGAAGCGTCACATGTAAATCGCTTAGTTAACAACAAAACAATTGCAGCGAGAGAGAAAGGAGGCAACGCGCCACAGGCAGGTGAACAAACAGGATATTTGATTTTAAAACAATGAAAAAAGCAAAAGTGCAAATGTATTGAGACTAGCTGAGAAGCAGTACGTATATATAGCAGAGTAACTAAACTAAAGAAATGAAAGCAAAAAAGTAAAAAAAAAAATATTATATGTATAAAACACAAAAACAAAAGCATACACATTTAAATTTAGTTGTTAATTTAACAAAGTTTATATATTAAGCGAAATCATACAAATAGGATGAAATCTTAGTATAAGAAAGAGCAACATAATGATATTGTGCCATCAACAGAAAAAAAATGGAAAAAAAAAAATATTTAAAAAAATATGTTTGAATTTAAATGGAAACGCACACAAATACACAAAAACACCATGAAAATTCAACTACACAAAAAAAGTTATTTAATGCATTTGAGTAAACTCGACGCGCAAGACACACAAAGAAACTAAAAATCAACTTAATCTAAAATATTTAAAAAAAAATTATTATTATTTTTTCTATATAACTCACTTAAGTTTAGGCTAATTTTTGGAGAAATCTTTTTTTTTTTTTTAAATTTGCTTGTGTGCATGGAAAGTATCAAAAATAGAAATAAGCATGTATGTATGTATGTGTAAAAGAATCCACATTCGATTTATTAATAAGTAACTTTATGTTGTTGTTGTTGGTGTTGTTATAGCTGACATTTCAACAACAACATCAGGTGTTCAATGCATCCAATACTGCTTTAATTCACGCATACAAATTATCTTCAATAATGAAACCAATATAATATGTAATTAAATTAATTTAATTAAACAAATAAAATAAATGAAATTCTTTAAGAGCTTAAAATAATTTTCGCCTTTTAGTCATAATAATATTTGTATTGTTTCATTTTATGCTATGTAAAACATAAAATTTAATTTAAAATACAATTAATTGCAAGAAAGCTCATGTAAACCGGCAAAAGCTGATGAAAGCTTTTGCGTATGAGCAACCAGAACAAATGATCAATTTTACCAAAGTAAAGCAATTTTTATTAGTACTATTAAATATTACAATTAAATATTATTATTATCAATATTATAAAAAAATGTAATTATTATAAATGAAATTTATCACTAATTAAATTTATTGTATTTGTTGCGCTTAGTTTATGAGTTGGAAAGCGTTGAAAGTGTAAACAAAAACATATTTTAACATTAAATTGGTATTATTAATTAGTGTATTTAATTAAATTCCAATGCATTTTGCTTATCGATATTTTGCCGGTTAATAATAAAAACAGAGAAGAAAAAAATGTACATAGAAGCGTGTCAGAATGACTGCAAGCTTAAAACTGTAACTACAAAATGTTTATTATTGTTCACTGTTTATATTAAATTAATTGAAAAAAAAAAAGATTGTAAAAAGCTTTGCTCGCTGCTTTAGTTAATAAGTGTAGAAATTTAAAGAAGAAAAGTAACAAAAGAACTTCAGATTACGAGTATTGCAAGGCGAATGGTCGGCTTAGTAGAGCTTTGATAAGATGTGTGGTCTTGAAAATCCAAACTTTTACTTCCGAAAATATTTTATAATATAATATTAGCCAATTTAAACAACTGAACTTCAATTCAAACATACCACACAATATTGAAAAGTGGCAAATATCTGCTTTTTTTGCAGTAACAAAATTTTGTGGAAAAATTCTCAAAATTTCTGAAAGCATTACCAGTCACTTTTCGGTGAACTAACTCGTGAAAGCTTTTCATATTTAAGTCTATAATTTTCATAATCAATTTTTAATATTTTATTATAGAGTAAAATTTTGCATTAACAAAAGTAAGTAAACACAATTTCAGACTTTAGTCCATATTTGTGGCTTATACTGCCCGCATGAGAAAACTTTCACATCTATTCAAAGCTCTACTAATTTCATCGCCGTTTCAGCTCGTTTATCCCAAAGCGTAAGCTTAAGATATTTTGTATAATTTTTTGTGAGAGTAGCAAAATTACTGCCAAAAATTAAAGAACCTACATACATATGCAAATGTATAATAATTAATAATATTTATAAGCTTAGTGTCGATGTTTGATGTTTGAATGAATATGAAAAAAAAACACAAAAAAAAATATACAATTAAAAGTTCAAATTGTCATAGGCTGACACGCGATACCAATAAGAGAAAAAATTAGTAATAAAAATAGTTTTGTATATTTTTAAAACTGAATTTTAAGTTTATTTGTAATATTTTCTTTTCTCTAATTATGCTAATATTTTTTGTGACAACAACAAAAGTGCAAATATTGTTTAAAACAAAGAAACAAACTGTATTAGTAAAAAAAACTGAAAAATTCACAAAAAGAAAAACAAAAACAAAAAAAAACAACCACTTCATATACGTAACTTTTTAGTTTAGTTAATTTAAATTGCATAAAAACTAAATTTTAAACAACAAAAACAATATGGCCTTTTCGTATTAAATACCATATGTTTCGTTATGCTACACACTTTTCACTTTGAGTCTAAAACAAATGATATTGCAAAAAAAATCTATTGTGTTTTATTAAAATTTCGTGAAAAAAGTTCGGATCTGAATGTTAATTTCAAAATTTTTTTACAAAAAAAAAATATTATATTTTTTAATAAATTTCTTTAAAAATATGAAATTTCACAAAATGCTCGGAATAAACTTTCAGTAAATATTTATGAAATAAAAAAATGGTTACTTTAAAAATATTAAAACTTTCATTTTCGAATATTAAAAAAAAATATTTTACATTTTTTCGAAATTTCAATTTTTTTCCTACCGATTTCAAATGGATTCGTAATTCTTGTGAGATTTTTCATGTTCAGTTTTTAAAACCGTTAATTTAGCGCAGTTAAAAGAAATTAAATGAACCCACCAAACTTTTCAATTAATCATAGTGTTGGTAAACCAAAATAGGTTAAAAACTGCTAGGCTCCTTACATATATGTTTGTATGTATAGAGCACAATACAAAAGTTCGTATTACTCATTTTAAACTGTCTTTATAAATGTTAAAAACTCAAAATTTATTTTAATACTTTTTGCAATTACCGAATTATTATCATAATTGTAAATTATATAATAAAATGTTAAATTTTATATCACATTATAGTATTTTGTAATTTGTAATTTTACATCATAAAGTTTTTTTGCTTGTAATTATTAATTTCATTTCATTTTCTATATCTAATAAATAAATATTTTATTTTGAAACACAAATTGCGTCTTTATTATTTATTTGTATTATTTTTTTTTTGTAATGCTATACATATTTACAGTCATTCATTTTATAATAAAATTATATCAAGTCGCCTGCGACCAATTGACGAGCTGTATCAAAGTTCGCTCAAAAGCTTTCGAGGTCTCAATTAAAGAGATTAAAGCTCGATATATCGGGATATGAGCGAATGCGTTTAGTTCGATGTTCGATTACTGCTCAAAGGTGTAAAGAACATTTAAGATTTTGAATAGTGCGCGCAGCGAATATTTTCAATTTATTCACCAGAATTTCATTAGCATTTTACAAATTTTAACATTTTGAGTAAGCGAATTAAAAGCCTGCGCAACACTCGAACGGCTTTGTGTCGTTATCATTACGAGTTGTTCGAAAATGTTGAAAAAAATGGTTGCTCAGTTACATATACATAAACATCTGATGTATAGGGTGTGCCATCTGTTGCACCCACATTATTAATACATATTTATTAGCTAAACATGTACAGGCAACAATTAAATTGTTTTATTATTATTATTATTTTTTTTTTTTGTAAATTACACATAATAGAATATAAAGTTCTTTACTTTAAGCCAATTCATGTTAAATCTAATTATACTATAAAAATAATCACGCTTTTTGATTTTGTTATTATTTGAAAAAACTTCAAAATTAAAAATTAGTTAAGAATTTAAAATAATTAATTTAATATGTATGTATATATAGTTTGCAATGCGTACTATATAAAATTATATTTTACCATGGTTTCGCCTCAAAACGTATAATTTAGCAAACATGATTATTAATTTTCGAGAATATAAGATTCCAAATTTTTTATTTTCCACTTTTTTTCATTGGAAAGTGAAGGTAGAACTGATTTCATGGACGAAAAAATTTAAATTCTAATAAAAATCAATAATTTTGAATGGAATATAATCTTTTCATTGCGTAGAAAATTTAAAAAAAATATTGTGCTGAAATTTTCAATTAATTAACAATACTGCACAAAATTTTTGTTTTGAGAGAGTTCAAGTGATATCTTAAATTCATTAGAAACGTGCTAAAGCAAAATAATTCATCTAGGAAGAAAATTCGGTGCACAAACTTTTATTTTTATTTTATTCTATTATGATTCTTTTTGTTCTACATATTTTTTAAATTTAAGTTGTTAAGAGGATTATGCAATTATTGACAATTTTTGCGTAAAAAATATCGAATTTTTCTAAATTTGAATCAACAAAAAACAGCTGAGCTTCTACCTAAACACCGAAAAAAGTAACTAAAACTAAAATTGCAACACTGATGATCTCACTAAAGGTGCCCTCTGACACAACAGTTTTTGTTTTCTTCACTCATTTTGCATCGAACTAAAGTTCAACATGTGACCACACCGAAATTAGTTTCTGCAATTATGACTGCACTCATTTATCTGCAGATTGACTTCCGAAATTAAATTTCCAATTGATCGGGATCGATCTTCTGAAACTTTATCTGAATCTAATTGAGCTATAAGAGTATGGACGCTAAGAGCTGGTCTGAAATTTACGCCTCTGAATTATGTTACAAAATATGTTTCTAAAACTTTTTCGAAATTAAATTCGCCGGACCATTCGCAGTGACATTTTCTGGATGCGTTTGTAGCATTTGCAATGCTTCTGGCTGTTCTTCGCTCCGAAATTGACAGTTCTGTTTATTTACACACTCATTGAGCCAAAAATGAGTTTCGGAATATGC